ATGTTCTTATCACATTACAAGCTCCAAATGGTGGTTTCCCTCCTTCTGATACATTAGCCAATCTATTTGGTTTTGAATCTCAAGATCAACTTTTAAACTTATATAAATCTCATTGTCGTGAAGATCGTATTTTAAAGCATAATAATCATACAGTATGGACAACTAGCATGATCTTATGGTTCTTACGTTTCTTATTAAAAGATTATAGAAGTGAATGGGGTGGTATTTATGAACGTGCTGAACAGTTTATTAGTAAAGAAATTAACGATTTAGAAATGGAAGAAACTGTAGTTGCTAGCGGCAGAAAAGCTGTCCGTGAAAGATTTGATATTGGTGAACCTGGTACGTAATCTATTTTTAAATTATTATTAATTATTATTAATTATTATTATTATTAATTAATAATAATAATTATTATATTTTACTAATTAACTTTAAAAAAAAAATAGATTCCAAATCTAGACGAATTACTAGAGACACTATTTCAATTGCACATGTTAGACGTATTCTTAAATGTCAACAAAATACTGGTGCATATTACTTTACTGATGACCTTGCGAAATCCTTTGGTTATGAAAATGCCGAAAAACTTCAAACTGCATTCTATGAATATAGAAATAGTAAAACCAAATCACAAAAAATTTCTCAAATTAGTCCCTCAGTTTGGGCAACTATGATGGTACTTTATTTCTACCGTTATGTTGCCGTTGATCAAAAGAAAGAATGGTTCCAAACCTATGAAAGATCTTACAGATGGTTATGGGCTCAATTAAAGGGTAATGAAGCCCTTGAACAAGAATGTTTTGATATTGTTAAATCATTTATCAAAGATTGTCATGGTGTAAGAGATGATGTTATGGAGATGGATCGTAACTTTGAAAAGGAAATTGCTGATATGATAGACTCTATTAAGAACCCACAAAAAGATCGAGGAATTGGTAAATAAAATATTTATCTTATTTGTTTAATTGTTTAATATATATTTTTATTCATTTATTGATTTTAAAATTTTATATAATTATATATAATTATAAAAAAGTTCAAAAACCTTATGGTATCGCTCGTATCGAAATTAAAAGTGCCAAACACCTGAAACAAGCCGATTCGTGGCTTGCTGGTGGTGCTTCCGACCCATATGTTAGAATATCTAACCTTTCCACAAGTTGGGTTTATGGTGATTCACGTGTCATCTACAACAATTGTGATCCCGTTTGGGATCAAGTGTTTTATATTCCAGTTTATGATATTCAGGAAAAATTCAATTTACAAGTCTTCGACTATAACGCTTTCTTTAAACATAAACTTTTGGGATTTTATATTCTTGATCT